ACACACACACACACACACACACACACACACACACACACACACACACACACACACACACACACACACTCCCGTTTCTTCGCAAGCAGAGCACACAAAACGATGACGTCACCAAACACACACACACACACGCACGCACGCACACGCACACGCACATAAGAACGCGCAGGCAAAGGCGTGCATACGCACAAACACGATTTCCCACTGCAAATATAAGACTTTGATAGCCTTTAACTTGATCATGTTCCGAATTTGCTGAATGTGATATTTGTAATGTGTGTTTTCGTTGCGATCTTTCTCGTATGACAAGTCACCGCTAGTGACACAGTGCATGGATATATAATATATGCACGGACCCTTACCGCAGAAAATGGCTTTTAAACTACATAAATTATTTATTAATTGCATGAATAATGGACGATTGATGGCCAGGACGATAAATCTCGTAGCTTCTAAATATGTGTCAATTCCTATAAGACGTAATTTGTGTATGGTGCACAAACAGCATCTAGTTTTTGCTTTCGAGTGCGATCAGTAGTTTTCAATGAAATAAAATTATTAATTCATTGTTTCTGTAACTCGTGTTGAAAAAACGAATCATAGACGTTAATACTCTTGACAATATTGTTTGGTTTTAAAACTTTCGGCGACAAATAATTATGCTAGCCAATTTCGCGCTAAATTAGCGGAGGTAAACAGCGGCATTAACGATGATCCCTTCTGCGCTCAGTAGTCCAGAAAGAAAATGAATGAAGAGGAATAGAGCAAAAAGCAATTAATGTAAGCGATAAAGATTTCAAAATAGTTCTATGGCAGCCTGAATTATTTTACGAGTGCCACGTCTTCCGTAAATGTTTGCTTTGGATCGATTAGTTGTGTGTGGACGCCATGGCAACGCTTACAAAATAATGGTGGTTATATTTCCGAGTGTGTATTAACATCGGAAGAAACCTCACAATTTTCAATTCAACACAAGAACCATACAAGAAAAGCGATCGTAAACAATAGTGTACTTTCATAGCTCCTTATATACTAAGTAGTGGTGAACGTAATAAATGAATCCCAGCCATCAGGTTAGGTACGCAGCTCGTTCTATTCACGCTGACGTCATAGAGACGCTACATGAAAAAAACAACTTCTTCCCGTGTTCGCTTATAGCTGCACTGTAGTAAATATAAAACAAGATTAAAAAGCTCTGGGTTCTATGTTGGCGAGCTATTGAAATGCAATCTAACATCGCTTACGCATAAGATCGTCTATGAATTTATTAGATGACCGTTTATATTACCACCGTTATGCCACCATATGTAGTAAATACATGTTAATTGGCTATCATGTCGATTTTGGAGAGCAAGCGAAATACAAGCGAAAACCTCTCACGCATTAAATTTATATGATTTTATCAGATGACAGATTTTTCGTTAGACACGGCCTTTAGCAGTAGCTAACCGATTTCTTCGCTTTTAAGAACGTGGAAAAGCCGACCGTCTCCCTCTAGACTACCAATTTAGCTCCTTGTTTGCATCGTATATCAGCAACGGCGCAGCTCAATTGCCCGCCGGATCGCGAAAGGAAATTACCAGATCATCTCAAGTTCGGCAGCGAAGAAAAGTGGCAGCCGATATTGACCGAAAAAGGCGGGAAGATAGGTGGCGCCCCGCGGCGGACGCCCGACCGAAATCACTTGGCGGGGTTGATCGGTGAATGTGGCGGCCCACGCGCGCTGGCTCTCCTGCGATGCGTCTACCGTGAATATGTATACGACACATCCGCATCGGCGGGTGGTGATTAGAGGGAATTACGCCAGAGGATTTCGCCATTGTGAGGAGTAAATTAGAATGAAAGACGTCGGTTATCGTCGCCGGCGCTAATGGTAACCCGCCGAGAACGCCTCTGATGGCAGGCTGATCACCGAAGAGCGAGAGAGAGAGGGAGAGGGAGAGAGAGGGGAAAAGAAGAAAGGGAGAGATATCTAGATAGGGAGAGGGGAAAGGGGGAGAGCGTGCATGAGAGAGGAGAGAGAGAGAGAGAAAGAGAGCGAGAGAAAGATAGAGAGAGAGCGAGAGAAAGATAGAGAGAGAGCGAGAGAAAGAGAGAGAGAGAGAGAGAGAAAGAGATACTAGCGAGTGCCGGTCGGATTCCTACTACACGAAGAGTAGATTCCTACTACAGCGAAAAATTAATGAATCCAAATTAAAATATTTCACTCATTAGGCATCGTAATGGCCTGGGAGAGATCCTAATAAAGATGACGCGCCGTGTGATGGTAATTGCTCGTGAAGCAATGACGCACAGGCGAGGTTGTCTCGCATGTAGAATATTCGTCTGTCGCGTCGCGTTTATGAATCGAGCGTATATAATATCTGATGATTCGCATTTCACTTGCGTATAGTGCCGATCGCGCGTGACATGATTAAACTAGGGCAGGCATTCGTGTTTGCTCGCGTACCATTCTGTGCCGACCGCAATAACAGTTGCGCAATAATAGTTCAATTATCATTGACGAGTCGATATATAAGATACTGGAGCGAGTATTGTCTCTGGATATGTGGACAATTTTCACGATCGCGGGTAAGAAGTAATAAATAGCTCGATTTAACAGTGCAACGTTCTTTCGTGCGTGCGTACGCGCACTCTCGCCGTCTAATGCGAGAGGATGCGTGCGTGCGTGCGTGCGTGCGTGCGTGCGTGCGTGCGTGCGTGTGCATGGCGTGCGAAAGATTCTCTTTCTAACCAGATGACAGCGTAGCAGGGAAATTAGCGCTCAGTGTGGCAAACGCAGGTATTTACCATCATCATCATCATCATCATCATCATCATCATCATCATTATCATCATTAATATTATTATTGTTATCATTATTATTATAATCATCATTTATTATTATCAATATTATTATTATTATTATCATTATTATTATTATTATTATTATTATTATTCCTTCGATTCAGCGAGCAACTGGTCGACGTTGCAAAATGAAATACTGCATGTTGCATTTTACACATTTAATAAATAAAAATTATTATAAAATGTATATATTATTATATACATTAATATTCATTAATAATATAATAATAATCATAATAATACACTATCGAAATAATACAGGGCTCGGAGATTAATCCAAACAGTCAGCAATCAAATGATGGATAATGTAATAGCGCCTCGTTCAAAATGTGCGAAGGTGTGACGCCCACGCACGCTATTGGCACACGCGCGTTTTCTACGCACCGTATATTTCTCAAGAGCGAAGCTACACAAAACCACGTTTACGCGGGGCCAATATTTCTTTACCTCGTCAGTGCAGCGTCTCATTAGGTTCTGCATGATTTCGCATTATGCTGCGAATATTCGATGATCGTCCAAACAGCTGCCGCGCCGATGAATAATTGAAATAATTTTAATCTAGTGCAAACATTCTGAGTGCGACGAAGGAGCGGCCGCGCGCTGAATATTCTTCGCTTTTGGAGAACTTGAAGAGAAGCTTGTCAGTGAAGTGTTCGGCAAGTTGAGCGCACGTAGCTATGTAGGCCGGTTTGTCCAGCGATTGCAGCTCCGCCATTCCATCCACAATGACTGCCTTCTTTCGATGCACCGGGAGTCTTGCCTCATCAGTCTCATCAGCGGAGGAGACAGGTGGCGCCTCCTTTTCAACCAAGCTCATCAGCGTACTCTTGTTTAGACAATGTAGCATCACACCATCAGCAGCAAAGAGGGACCTCGGAACCACA